CATTTGTGCACATGGAATCACGCTCTGCACACCTTCCAACAGTGACAACGCACATTCGCACGTGAGCAGAGTGTGGTTGCAGTCTACAGTTCCAAAATAAGCTTAATTACATGCAATTATAGTCATGTATGATAAATTACTATATTTTCACCGCCCCTAAAAACATGTGATGCATTTTTAAAGCTGTTCAGTATAATCATTTATCACTCCCCGGCCTTCTATTATGAATACTTTTTTTAAATTAATTAATCTCTTCCATTCAACACAGTTTTAGTAATTAGCCTATTTTTTCAACTCTGCTCTAAAAATGATATGGGTGGGGGGGAAATCGTAATATGCTCTTTAGTCCTGCTCATTGCCCATTACATTTACCTTGTACATCAATTAAGCCATTCATTCACAGCCTACAGTAGTTATCTCATACCAGGGCTGTTACACCGAACGAAATTACCTACAACTGAAATGTGATGTAATAATAATGATCCAACATTTATAAAAAAGGATCCATAAGATTACAACACTCTTGTACTGCAATATCCTTGGTAACAGCTTTTCTCAATCTTTCTCTAAAAGGTATTTGAACTGTAACTAGCACAGCTGTGGTGGCTATAAGGTAATGCTTAATTACTATCAAAGAATGATCTTCCTATTAACTACATTTATTCTGTCAAACCACCACACTTAAGGAAAGACACAAAAACTATTTAAAAAAAAAACAACAGACTACTTTGTCTGAAGTAAATGTATGAAATCTTTATATTAAAAGTCTGCAAGAGACTGTAATTGTATTATTTATAGAGACTGTGAAATTAAGCATGCTAAAAGCCAGTGAGTGTATAGTTTAATCAGTTCTATTGATTCATGCTCTCAATTCATACTGGCTTTGAAAGCAAGGCACATTAAATACATTCCCTTATTACTCTATAAATGCAAGCAGCTCACCCGCCATACCACAAGCAGTAAATTAATAGTAATAAAAACACCAAGTGCACAGACAGATACAGAAATTAAAATCCAGGCTCAAATACAATACTTAATCCCATTCAGCATAATAAAATCATGTTACATAAAAACACTTCCAAGAACCAATCACATATCCCCATAAGCATTCAGAACAGTTAGGCATGCTCATTGTTGATTTGTAGCTCATTTTACACTGAAACACATTAATCAAATATTTTACATTTTAAAGTCACTTTTTAAAAATGATAAAACATAAAGGTTTAAATGGCAATGAATATAAAATGCAATCATTTTCCAAGAAGATCACAAATGTAGTAACATTACCGCATGTTCCAAGTAAACTGCAGTGATTTACTGGGAGTGCTTTAAATACATCTATAATATGAAAACAGTTCTGATACAAAATTGTTTCCCATTATATCTTAAGTATAACAATAGATATAAAATGGCACAGGAGTAAGGTACACAACATCAAATGTTAACATTTAAATGGACAACTCAATACTTAATACAAAACAAGATTCTGCCACAGAACACTGACAGTCTGATCAGACTTTCAAAGCCATCATCAATCGGAAGTACAAACTAATACTCCATTGCTTAAGTTAATTATAAAATACATTCACATATTTGTGCGCTTGAACAAGTGAACTAGCCGCAGTAGGTTTAGAAAGTAATGAATGTCCAGATAAAAATAATAAAACAAAGAGCACAGTAGATCAAGACGGATACAGTACCATATTCCCTTGAGTTAAAAGCAGATATTTACAGCAACAAATCAAAATCACTATTGCACTAGACATTTTAGTACGAACAGAAACACAAACACTTTTAAAAGGTACGCTATATTTCAGCAGTGGTAAAGCCTCACTAACACAAACTACACATAAAGAGCACACTGTCTGTGAATTGAAAGTGGAAAAGCCTCTCAGTAACTTTCAGGTGAGATCCAGTTCACAGCAGCAGTAGCAGATTTGCATTCAGGGGTTCTCAAGGGAACATCTGGCACCGGGAGGTTCAGACTCCTCCACCACTGCGGTCCACGGACACCGGCTCCCTCTGATCTAGGTTCTCCTCGGCGGTTTTCATCAGAATGGCAAGCCTGCTACCAGAAACCTGACCTTTCTGAATAGCACTCATGAGCTGAAAACAACGAAGCACACATCAGATTTCAACTGGAAAACAATGCAAACTAAACAAAAAAAAATCGATAAAGCACAGAAGACAGCTACAGGTATTCCTCATTTTGATATTAGTGGGATCTGAATTCTAAAACCAATAATCTGATATTGAGTCTCTGCTGTTCTCATTAATTCATAATAATGTTTTCACTGTCTTTCCCAAATCCCCCAGAATGATGTTGAGAGTCCAGTGACAGTCAATAAGAAAACAAGTTTGTCACTATTCTACACTAAACTGACTTCTAACATAGAGTTTCTGAACCGCTAACGTCTTACAATAATACATTATAATAACATATACAGTACAGTAGATCCAAATGGCACGATGTTTATACAATCTGCACAAGTTCCAGATCCGCCGTTCAGTCTTTAAATTTCATCTGTGTCCCCATGTCTTCTCCAAGTAGTCCTTCCCTGGTGCTGGATGTGTGTGCGTGTTTCTGGCTGTGTGTGTGTGGAGGGTAATTATCATGCTGGAACATGTCCTGTGTTCTCACTATACTGGTTGTAAGTCACATCATGCCCTTCATGAGGAAGACCATGTCTACCCATAATACCATTAAGGAAACACAGGGCCAGTCCTCTTGCTTTACTGTTATAATAAAGCAAACAACAATGGTTCTTCTTAAATTCTGTAGGAATGAAGGTGAAATCAAATGCAAAAAGTAATTTGTGATAATTATGATGTTGGTCCTCTTACTTTAGAAGAGAAGTATGTAATTCAAGTCTAGCTATACAGGATTCCCATTCAGCTTTGAAAAAGCAATGATTTTTAGTAAACCTCCAAGATTTCCTTACAACTCAATAAGTAGCTTCAGATCCATAGAATCAGAAATCAAGAAATTACTGATATTACACCTCTAATCCACTGTAACATGCAGGAAACAAGTCACAAAAAGTTATTAAAGTGTGGCTTGCTTTAAAATAGTATACTTAACTGTAAATTAAAGATCAGAGAGTTGCCACAACATATGGACAGCAGCAAATGACAGGAGGCTATTTAGCCCATCTTACTCAATTGGTTACCAGTAGCTTAATGATCCAAGAATTCCAACAATACATTTCCTAAATGATCCCATTTAGTCATCCTCAACCGCATTATTAGGGAGTTCATTCCAGGATCCCACAATCCTCAATTTAGTCAATGGCTGCATTAACATTTGCACTTTCCCTACTTGATCACCTTTCTATCGTAAACAATATAGTTCTATTGTTTGCATTTACTTATAACAACTATTTTCCCTAAACTCAAAAAAAATGCAAATGTGGGAAATTCTGGAAGAAATATTATTTAAAATATCGAAGTATACAGTCCCTCTTCGATCCCGGTGCTGTTTACCACAAAAGTCTCTGTACATGTTAAGATTAAAAAAATGCCATCTTTTAGGGACAGTACTGAACATTTTCACTAACATTTTTACATGAAATTGGTGTAAACTGGTGTTGCTTTCATAAGCATTTCCCTGAGAAAATATTAATTCTTCCCGCAATACTAAGACCATTTTTTGACCAACGCATTAGTGCATTCTTGCAACATTTTCCTAGTCCTATAAATAACATCATGTTTTAATCAAAAAGATTACATAGATTACATAGAAAAATGAAAGAAAGATCTACTTTAATTTTCCTGCTGGTATAAAATATTAACTCACTGTAATTGATTCACTTGAAAAGTCTAATGTTTGTATTTGTCAAGTTTTCACAAGACATGTAGAATGTAAGATTTCTTAAATGCCAGCATTTTATGAGAAATCTAAAACATTATTTTAGTTAATAATTTACATAAAATGCATTGTACTTTTAACATCATTTAAGTATCAGTAATTTCTACACAATGGATATTCTAATTAACTGGAAACTAACATATTTAAATTGGATTAGTGATATTGATAAAACATGATTAAAACCCAAAAGTGAAATGATAAAGCAATTAAAAGTACAGAGCATGCACACAGTATTAATTCAGTACAATGATCAAAATCTTGAAACACAGAATAAAAAAAAAAGTTTTATCAATTCTGCATGGTACACCAGGTTTGTCTTACTAGAGTTTGTGCTCCTACAGTGCTGTTATCTGGGGCTTATCTCAGGAGGGACAATTACCAATTCCTTTGCCTTGATCTTGTTTGTTTAACTTGACACAGTGAAGAAAGGGCTGACATTGACCAAAATCCCTAGCATTAATTTATCTCATGTTCAGCATTCATCATTGTCACACTGCAGGAGAAACCTGGCAGTCACTAGAAACACCTGCCTAGTTCAGACTGTTCAATAAGCCCACTTAGGTTATGGTGAATAGTAAACTGACCACACACAAAAAAGGAGTCAAGTGGAATTTTAGATAACATAACAGCTCAGTTTCTGAAACATTTATATGTACCTGTACTTTGACTTTTTATTTTCAATACCCAACAAATTAATCACTTACATAGTAAAGTACTAGCTGTTGTTATATACTATACATTGTATTTTGTCTAATGTATGGTCCATTATACAGTGTCTTTAAATTCAACTTATCAGGAAAATACATTTACTTGTAATACTTGCAATGTACATTTTGCTTAGTATATTGTAACAACACTAACCATCAGTTTTCCAAATTAAAAAGTGTTTTATATATATCAAACATTAATTCGCATGGTTAATTGTTTATCCTTCAGAATGGAGAGTAAATACTTTCTGTAAGAGTACCACATAACAAGTGTGCAGACTACTGTTCTGCCGGAATAAAATACTCAAAATACATTTAATAAATCATTTAATATTTATTAAACAAAACTTTCTAAATTTTCTGTATACCACGAATTCAATCTGTTTAAGGATTAAGAAAAAAAGACCAAATCAAGAATATCTGTAACAAATCTCAAGAAAAATAAGAATCTACCTCTTAAAATAATGTTTTTAAAATATCAAGCAAAGAACACTTTTAATGGGTTACAAAAATATTGCAAAACAGAGCAAGGAAGACCTAAGATTTCATCCTTCACTCTTGATATACAGTAAATTACCTACCTGCAAAAATTCATTAAGTTCAACTTGTCCATTTTTATTCAGGTCAACCTCATTCAGAATTTCATGGAGTGCATTTTCATCAATCTGGACACTAATACTCTAGTTAGGAAAAAATGATAGAAATGTATAATACTAGGAGAGACATTTCAGTTTAGTAATAACACATGATCTAAATGAAACAAATAACATTATAGAAAATCACATTTCTTAATCTCAGAAATGGCATTACACACAACCAAATGAAGTGGACATTTCTGGGCTCACAGGCGTTAATCAGACAACTACAGAAAAGAATTATACTTAGAACCAACTGGACGTTATTTATCAAAAAACTTCATGGAGATCAAGAAGAGGATGATGTATAAAACTTTATGCAAACTCTGTCACAAACCAAGGCACACCGACACTTAACTGCTAATTGTAGAGGAATGGTAGCAAATACCCATTTAGACATGACACATGCATTTTCAATGTACAGATCAACCCAAAGGAGCAGACATTAATTCAGATATCTTTTCTAAGACATGGATTTTTGGTTTCATTATGTACAGAAAGAATAATTTAAAATTAACAGGAAGTCAAAGCAAAGCTAAACATATACACAGATTAGTGATTTACCATGGTTCAAATTCGTAAATATACTGTATACTGCTGGGCATTAAAAAGGATCCTAACCAACAATATAGCTACAAGATAAGCTATGACAATGATATTTGATAGCTATGAAGCTCAATACCATGGTTACTGAGCTAAAAGAAGATCCCAGAAATGGAACAAATATATTAAAGGAGAGAAAGAGAAAAAGGTGAAATCTCACAGGGCTTTGCAAAGGTATGTATGAAAAATCTCACTATTAATCACTCAAGCTTAAAGAAAAAGAAATGAAAAAATATTTACCTCCAATACCCGTTGAACATCAACTATGGTAATAAATCCCTTCTTATCTTTGTCAAATTTGTGAAATCTCTTTTTGTATCTGGAAATAAAAACAATAAACATTCATACAGAAATGCATATTTAACAAATTAAATGCAAGGCAGTGTATTGACTATCCTTAAGCTTTTTAATTATTTAGAAACTGTTCCATTAATTTACATTAAAGAATAACATGTTTTTACCTCTCAGCTTCTGAAGGTGTTAAGCTTATCTCAGATCTGTCTGTTAGTTGTTCTGATCGTGACTTGTAGCCCATTTCATAGTACAGGAACTGTTTTGCTGCTTCAAGTTCTTCCTATAACAAATATTAATAATGCGTCAAAAAAACAGCTGATTGACATGGGAGATCTTTCTTTCCATTTACAACAAACAGAAATTACAGTGTGCTATCCATGATATAATTCAGTGAAATCACAATATGAACCAAAGGCCAAAGGCACTCAACTGCATCCCTTCAGATAAAAGGACTTAACAGCAAAGTAAACACAGTTCCCATTTGCTCTTTTGAAAATGTGTCCTTTCCATCTGGAGAGTAACTTAAATTCCTGAACCTGCTGCTGCCTTTTCACATGTGTGTTTTTCAGTCTGTGCTTGGCATGATACTTAGTGCCGTACTAAATTTGTTTGGCAAAGAGTAGGCCTTCACTGGCTATAAATAGACTTCAAGAGGCTAAAATTTTAACAACCCCCAAGAGGTAGATGGGAATGGGTGGGGACTACTTTACTGTATAACAATTAGATCACAGGAGTAAGAATGACCTGTCTTTATTTCAGAAAGAAAGCAGCAAGGCTAAATTCTTAGAACAGCAGTGTCTGGAGATTCACAAGTGTTAGGTTAGGTTTAAAACACTTCCAAATTTTAAATTCTCCAGTTTCACCTGGTGCGTGAGATTTGAAATTCGCCTCACAGCCACCCAGGCCCTTCCCTCAAAATTTATTTTTCACATCATAGCCTAACTCTGTCCCAGTGAGCTCGTGGATAATTGAATAAGCAATTGTTAAATCCCAATTGTTGAAACTTTACTGTGGTATTGTAAAAACACTTTATCATAAAGACAATGTATATATCATCTGTATATACAAGAAAAAAAACATCACCAGTGGATACCGTAGAGCCAAAATTAGGGAAAATGTTTTTGTTAAAGCCTCTTTAAAAAACACCAGTGCTGGCATACCACAAGCAGAGAAGTAAAAAATTTAAGCTTGGTAGGTCAAAATTTAAATTCAAGTGAAGAAAGCCACACCTGTTACAAATTTCTTAAACATGGTGCTTAACGACAAGGAATATAAACCCAAAACATAACACAATGCAGCACTGTCAAATGTACAGATTGGGTATTCAACAAGAAATCACCACTTCCTATTTAATGTACATAAAAGCAATGATAATTTTAAATGAATTCAGTACTGAATAGTTTATCACTATGATATTGTGATAAGACTTTTTGGACTGTATTTTTACAACTACAGACATTCTCTGTACCTTTTTCTTTTGCTCATTCCACTTCAAGTGCTTGCCCATTATTTCCACAATTCGTGGGAGAGCTTCATCAGCTGCCTGCACATTCAGGAACCCCAGGCGAGTTCGGCGCGCAATGACATCAATGGCCGTGCAGGCGTACTCTTTGATTGCGTATTGGACCTGAAATCAATTAGCCAGATAACGAAGGGAAGGTGAAATGGGCAGATCTGTATTTTCATTCTCTGTTTCTGTCAAGGAAGTGCAGGTTTCAGAAGTATTTGAAACAAATACGTTTTCTTCAGTTACTCGATGTACAGTATGCTTTGAACACTCATGCAAAGTCTGAAATGCAGGGACATTTTATGTGTTTACCCCCAACCTCCCTGACCAAGCACCTCAACATTCAGGTCAAAATTAGGCCAAATACTTATTAATGTGATGTAGAGACAAAAAATATTAAAGTTTATTTGATGTAATTCTGCGGGCTGAGGGAACGACCCGTGAGGACGAGGCTACCAAGACATCCCCACTTCTTGAGGAATGAGCCAGGGAGCTGCTTCAAGGGTAAAGATGAAGTGGAGGGTGTGATGCAAGAAAAAACCCCAAAAGTGGTGCTAAGAGGCGAGATATTTATTTGTAGGAGAGTGGAGGTGGGATAGGTTAGAAATTCAACCTCCACACAAAATTCGGTTTTAAACACCATTTAAAGCCAATACATTTTTGGAAATTGATGGTATCAATGGGAATTGTTGTGACACCTGTGCGCTGTTGTTTGTGATTTTGAACAACAGTGAAACAAAACAAGTAACTGGACGACTAGCATGTCTTTCAGGGAAAGCGTGTCTCTACATATCTCCAAGGTTAATGCATGATGTGAGCAGCTACTTAAATAGCAATTAGCAAACCATCATTGATTCTCAATGTTGCATTTATTGTGGTGTAAAGAAAAGAAAACGTTTCTTTCCATATTTCTATATATACATACCTCACTTTCAATGTAAGGGAATTCCGACACCAAACGTTTTCCAACAATGGGCCACCGCTTACCAGTGACTTGTGCCATTTTGGCCACCTCAAAAGCCTTTCCCCCATATGTAGAAGCCAGATGCTGAGCAACCTAGGTATTCAAAATGTTCATTGATAATTCACTGTATATTAGCAAATAATTGTTTTAAATACATTAGACGTTGTTTTCAAAATTTTAACAGTTAATTTAATGGAGTTATAGTACGCAGACAGTGAAGACTGATTGTAATACATTATCTGCCAGAACTAAACAAAGAGGAAGTTATTTCAATTCCAATGGTATTGTTACTTTTTATAAAAGGTCAGGTGCTGTCAAAAATATCACCATATTGACCTTTTTAAACATTCTGAGACATCAGGATCATAGATTATGCTTTCTTCAAGCATGTTTCCTAACGAGGGGTTAAAAAGTCTTAAAGTCACAGGTGGATCCAGTTCTTACTTTAATTTCTATTTGTGTGCTACTGTAGATCAAGATATAGAATCTCTTCCTGTTCATTACAATAGTGCACTGTAGTGTAGTGCCAGATATACGAGTATAGCAGTTCAGTGCTCTTGCCCTCCTTATTGTTTTTAAAATAATTCCCACCAGCAGTCAGCCACGATTTGTATTTTTTATGGGCTGCTGACGAAGTGAGGACCTAGTGCTTCACTTCTGATTTGGTAGCACAGAGAAATTTTCAACAGATTTCATATTTTCATGATTTCCCAATCTGGGAAGGAGCACTCATTTTTTGTATATGTGTAAACTTGATCTTTACATGTAGAGCTAACTGGACTGGAATGCAGAAATCTGTAAGATCCCGTGGGCAAGAACTTTTTCTTTTTGCAAGACAAAGGTATCGATAATTTGGAGCACATCTGGAATGTTTGGTCCATAAATTAAATCGTAAACATTTTGCTGATCATTTCAATATAACAACATTTGTTATAGTTCTGGTAGCTAAAACAAAGCAATAGTAAAGTCCTCTAGTCAAAGAACACAAAAGACAAACATTCTACAACACTACAACAATACAACACAAGTCTAGCAAAAACAATTCTGGTTCTGCTGTGGCTATACCTCTATCTCCAGCCCATAGTCCTGAACTAGCCGAATATACATTGTAGGAGTCCAATCTTTGGCCCCTTCCAACATGAAGCCCACTGTTCTGCTTGGCCCTGCTTTCAGTTTGAGAGCTTTAATTGCTGCATCTAAGGTTTCTTCAGCCATTGCACGATAGGTCGTCCATTTTCCACCTAAAACAAGATGATTAGACACTGACAAAAAGGTATCCGCAAAGACAGATATATCTTTAGAAAACTGAGGCACTCCATCTGAAGTTCTGATTTGATCTATAAAGGTTTGTTCTGTACTTTTGCATATTGTAGACATAAATCATAATTAGAACTACAACATTTTATTAAAATAAGAAAAGTTTTATACTTATTAAAAATATGACACCAAAACAAGACGTTTAGTTAACAAAATGAACCAACAGTAGACTTTCTACTTCAGACATGAATGCGTCTCCAACAACACTGAATTGATTAATATAAAACCTTTTGGTTATTTAAGAAAAGTCCCATTTCAGTTAAACAATGGTATTAATAGTAAATAAGAAATTGCAGTTATAATTACACTGGGGGTTCACAAACATTTTCTCTGCATTGTATGCCTTTTTTTTCCAACAGGATCTGCAATTTTCCATGTGTTATTAACTAACTGAAAAGTAATATGGAAAACAGACTAATTTAATAGGTTAACTTATTTAGGGTTTAAAAGAAATATTCCTTCTTTGTCTTTGTCACTTTTATACAAGCCTTTTTGTGTATTTTTCAGTTTTTGTGATGGAGAATTGACAGTTTCAATGTCACAGAAAAGATTAAACATTACATTTTAAAACACATTTTCAATTATTCAAGACATGGGATTTCTACAATAAAACAAAGACAATAAGAGAATAAAATCCACATTTATAAAAATCTGACAAATTAAGTTTTTCTGATACCTGCAATAGTAACGAGTCCACTGTCGCTGATATTAACAATGTGATTCCGACAAATGGATTGTGTGTCTTTGGAGTTCGGGTCAGTGACTAGAGGACGTATACCACTCCAGGCTGCCAAGACATCTCCCCGTCTCACTATGCAAAACAGGAGAAGAAATATAATTAGAACTGCAACCAGCTTTGAAGACTAACAAATTTGTTCAATCATCATTGATTGGTACAGCACCTATAGTAAATGTGGTAAAAATGTTCTTATGGATGAAATGTTAGTTAGCAGAAAAATAATGTCTCAGAACTATTTTCTTCTTATGAAATTATGTAGTAAAGCAACATTGCAATTAAGAATAAAAGTTCTATAGAATTTTATTTGTAAAGAACAATGTAAAGTATAATAATTATGTATGTATTCAGCAATGTAATTACTAACATTTGATCCACTTGTATTTTAATCAAATTGTTTTCTAGCCTAAGAATTGAAATAATTTGTAATTTTTTATTGAGATATTCTATCTCGCTTATTACAGCTATGGTCACTAAGGTCTTACACAACAAACAACAGCATTGTCCTGCTATCTAATTATAAACTACTTCATACAGTAATTTAAACTAAGCTTAATTAACTACACTCAACCAAAATCTTAAAAGACCTTTAAGAAATTGTGTATAAACAGACAGGAGTTGATTGGTTATACACTTTTTCACCACCAACAGTTTAAATTTGATGTCATGATTTGATTAGTTTAAAATTTGAAAACTGTGTGAATGACAGCTACAGAATCTGGAGTTTATTGACTACATCAGCAGTTCTCAACCCAAGTATGCAGGCTCCTTTTCAATTTCCAAACATTTTGCGACATTACAAGTTGTTTTTTTTACACTCTTGTTATATTTGGAAATAGCATAATGGTAATAACATTAATATTCTGCACTCAGTAAACTCATTACTCCAACAAATATATTTGTGAAAGCATAGCCGTGCACATCCGTGAACATATGTATATCGAGCAACTTCATTGAAATAGCTGGTGCGTTTCATTGACTTCAAAGGCAAAAAAAAACAGTGAAGTCAGGTTGGAGGGGTGACAGTTTCAGCCTTGTATCTGTTTCCACATCACATTCTGCTTTCACATGGACTCCCTGCTGAAACTCCCTGCAGTTTGTCTTTGGACTGTGGGAGGAAACTGGAGAACCTGGCAGAAACCCATCTGAACACAGAGAAAACATACAAACTCCACACAGATGGGAACTGAACCCAGGGTCCCAGCAGTGCAAGGCACCAGTGCTAACCACTGTATCACTTTTAGTAATAATAGATTTTGGTTTATTCCTCATCACAGATACTAGATGAAAAATATGTTTGTACCTGAATTATAAACCTAGCAAGCTAGTCTGACAGAAACAACTCAAACAAGGAAAGATAATATCCCAAATTGTAGTTATGTAGAAAGTAGAGCATTTCATTAGACCCACAAAATGCCAGGCTGTGTTCAACATGAATAATACATTTCAGCATTTCACACCAGTATTGACGTCAGCTGAATAACCAATGAGGTGTCAATTCTTCCATTCTCCTTTTGTCTTACACCACAAAATCATAGATCATGTATGTTCTGGTGAGTGTCCTTATTGCCGCTCTCTGCCAGTGGCATGATTCCACTCATCATATCCATAAACTGATTCTTATTTGAAAAGAATAATTTGCACACAAAGCAAAATACACACCCTTATAGGAGGGAGCAACAGGAACTACTCACAATTAACTTTTTCTCCATTCTGCAGTTTAAAACAAACTTTTTGAGAATGTGCTAAGTTAGATCTGTTTGCATTTTCTCTCACAAGCCACTTGCCTTTCACAACAATGTAAGCAGAACTGCCGGTCAAATGACTTGACTTCTTCCTATTTGCCTAGATCCTTACTAAGGGCAAATTTCACAGCAAGATAAATATTGTAAATGAGACTATGCAGTAGTTTTGAAGCTGAATGGAGGTTACTTTCTGCTCGCAGGCTTAAAGTTTAAGCAAATTCATAGGATCTGTCAATGACAGTTAAGCTATCGATCTGGTCTGTTTCCATCATTGTGCATCTTCTTAAAATTGTTTAAATCCGGAATATGAACATTTTAAAAATGTTGCAAATCAAATATTTGCTTTTCTTTCCGTTTCCTATATTTATATGTGCCACTGAATCTCGCCATAGTCAACAGTACAATGTAAAAAATATACAGTTTGTGTTACACAACCTGATTCAATTATGATGTCTGCCCTCCCTCATCCAGTATAACGTTTGAGTTGTGTTTCACTCATCCCTTGCTCCTGTATTTCAAAGTAAAAAGCAGAGCCATGGGTTTTTTACAAGATTTAAACCAATTCCTTTTTCCACATATCTTAAGTCTTTGAAATGCCAGGTAAATGAACAATACCACTGTAATTAATTTTAAAATAATTCTATCGGAATTCCTAGAATTTGTGTCCTAATAAAACATCCCATTCACTCCTCTTAAATCCAGCCCTGTTTCACAGCCTGCAACTTCTAACCTGGCAAGATGTTACATCCAAACACAGACCTTTTATGACAGGCCTCAGACAGTAAGACTAGAAGTCATTACAACTTGCCAAAGTCAACATACTGTTCCATCATGCTCTCTTTTTGTGAGCATTTTTGCACTGCCAGTCACAACAACCCAGGTATCAGAATACCTTTGTAAGGAGGCTGCTGAACACACACTGTCTGTAGGTCTTCTCTGATGGATGTTAGCAAATGGTGCAGATGTTCACAGTGATTCACTGATTAATGCCCTATAGGTGGGGAGGGGCAAGTGTAATGGTCTCAGCAGAAAAGTTGAGTTCTATAGCAACTCAACATCTAGTTATTGATGGCAACCTGACTGTAAGGTGCTACACTGATCAGACCCTGGCCTCAGTTGCTGCCCCTCCTGCTGGCTCATCCTGACATGCAAGCTTCTTACAACTCAATGCTTACCTATATTTTGTTCTTGTAAAAATGGCTTTCGTCTTTCATGAGCATGTGACAGTTATACCATGGCCGGCCTGCTTTCTAGACTTCGGACCCACTGAGCATATGTGCGGTGAGCTAGAACAACATGAGACAACTTGGGCTCAGAGACCCAGGAAAAAGTACACGCTTGTGCAGTCTCTGTGCAGTATGTATAAAGAATATATTCATCCTTTTTGTAACAGAATTGTACATACACATTTCTGAGTTGACTGAACAGCTTTTGAGTTGGAGGTGTCCACATGCCTTTCTCAAAATTGTTTATAACTTTTTTGCCAATGTAACCGTTATCAGAACAACTAGCCTAGCATGAAAAGCCTACTGATTGCTACTGAAATATGCCAGGTTTCTGAGAAGGTGTTGACAGGGTTTTCCAATATGCAGTTTAGCTTACTTCCTTGGTTGATAAAGGACACTAATTTCTGTCACAAATCAAATGACTTATCTGTCTCGACCGACCCAGTACAAAGCTTGTGGAGCCCCCATCTTTGAACACGACCAGCTTCAATAGTGGAGAAAAAAAGAGTCCTTTACGATCGCGATTTGCTTGTACTACTTGGAAGCCTAAAAATCCTTACAAACACGACAGGCTTTCACTGCTTGGAAGCCAAAAAAGAAAATTCTGTACAATCTCTACAGACTTCTAGCAAACTTGGAAGCCTAATAAAACGAAAAATCCTTACAATCACTAGAGGCTTCCATGCTTGAAAGCCTAACTCAGCTGTCAGAAGTAGAATATATTTACTTAGCCCATCTTGGCCTGTTATCAGCTGCGTCTGTAGTACTTATACAGATGTTTAAAGAGGTGACAGACAGTTAGGCAGACAGATACATGAATCAGACACTTCTGTCACCCCTCACAGAATTGCACTCCGGCTAGGCAGAGCCTGATGGGCCGATATCTTGATCCCACATCAAAGCAGTTGCCAAGTCTTTTATAATAAAAGGTACATCAGCTGAGAATAAATTCATGTTGAAAGCTGCTCTTTTGCATATGTCGGCCGCTACATAACGCAATACTCTCTTTTTCTATAGTAGTGACATATAAGAATTAAATATTAATATGATGCTGTGTATTGATTAAAAAATATCTGCCACCATAATGGGTCTGGTGATATTTCTGAATAAACAACGACATACTCATTATCAAAGGGCATTTTTAAAACATTTATGACGAACAGTACCTTAGGATCCAGCATGCTTTCCTTGAGCAATAAAACACAAGCAACTGAAAACAGTTCAGTATGTATTTGCTGCACAATGCCTATATAATCAAAAGGACTACACACAGGAGTATGCTCAAAGACAAAAGGCAGTACAAAACCTCAGGGACACCTACTGGAGACAGAGCACTTTTCATTAAATTTGTTTTAAAATGTCCACACACACATTAAACCATAATGAAGGAGGAGGAGCAGGAGTAGGCTGAAATGAGCCTTGCTTTCATAATAAAATACTTTTTTTTCTTTTTAACATACAGTAAAGTGAGTGGGAAGCATTTTACATAGGATGACTGTAATAGTCTCTGTAACACAATCATAACAAGAGGTCTAAAGTTCAGTGATCAAATTTTAAATAAATCTATACTCGTAAAAGAAGGAAAATAACACAACAAAAGAGAATTTAGCATTATTTTCTAACCTGGTTTTACATAGAAGCTGGCCACCAAAAAATGATTTAGAAAAAGAAAAAAAAAGGAGATTAGGTAGTCTGCAGAAATGTAAGTCTGTAGTGTGAGAAACAGAAAATGTTTTAAAATGTGCATTGATCCTGGTTGCCTAAAGAAAGGACTATATCTCATACTATGTTGGGATACAAATGAAATAAAGTCCTTTTAGGAGACCATAAATAAAAGCCCACTTTAGCAGCAAAAAATAATCAAACATTACATTTGATCCCAATGTCATTGGTAGTACAGAAGTAATGTGTCAATATGGTAATTAGCCTTACACTGAATTAACACTGAAGAGTTTGTATCATTCTGAACTGTAAACAGTTCACCTTGCCACAGGAAGCAGACAGCTTCAAATGACTATCACTGGGTGACAGAATTAGCTAGAACATGATAACCCAGAATGATTTCCACTCTCTTACTTAACGTTCCTAATTGGTTCCCGGGTCAGGTCTCCAGATGGATATACTGTACCCCTGAACACGACTGGCCTTGCAAGTCACTCATTTCCTTGTTTTAATGTGAGTGGCTCCTACTTTTTTACAAAAAAGTAAAAACAGAGTTTACAACTGTCAAACACACAGCAGTTGTTACATCACTGCAGAGACAGGCCTCCAGCCAAGCATACACAACAGACACACAACAAGGTTACAGTGGTATTGAGACCTTTTAGACATTATTGAGACATTTTTTTTTCCTGACAAATATGCTTATGCTGAGGTAGGAACACACACATGAACTTAAAATTCAGACCATGTAGGAAAACAATTCCTTAGTATGATGTGCAACAATCCCTCTTTATTATTATGACCACTACTGTATATGGTGTACATAAACAACCTGAAAAAACTAGCCAATTCTAAAACCAGCACTTGATTTGTAAGTCATAAAAAAATAACAAGTCATTAGAAAATCTTCACAGAAAACGGTGAAAAATTGCTTTTTTTAAAGCAAACGCTTCATTTTATTTTCATTTTCTTGTGGAAAAGAATGTCTCTAAAAGGCACTTTTGTTTTTAAAATGGACTGGACTAAAAGCATCAAGGTGAAAGCCAAAGAGGCAGAGAAATATAAATCTAATCAATCAAATAATCAAGCCTGTGTCTAGAACACCAAAAACAATTAGACTTTTGTTCCAAAATCAATAACACTGCATTCTGTTTAGATATCTACCTGTCATTCTTTTAATAAAGTCCCTCAATGGTTTGACAAACTTGCCAGTCTGTCTGCCATCCACTTCGTGCTCTTAGCAGAGAAGGTTCTTGAGAGGTCTCGTAAACCCACTAATCGAAAACAATATAATTTAATGTTTGCTTCATTATTTTTACTTATTTATTAGCATTTATTCCCACTAGGAGAATCCAGACTCAAAAAATCAATTTTAAAAGAAACGGCTGGGCTGAAACAGACCTGAAAGTTATGTCGATAAGAAACACGGAATAACAATTGAAAAGCATTTTTCAATACGCAGTGATTGCAATTAAAGTACCAGAAGTGATATAAAAACGTGTTAATATCTGTTGTTTTATGCAAACTTCCAGACACCATTCAACCAGAAATGTATACTGTATGTGGATGTCTCACATCTTTCAAAAACATCTTTGTCTTTTCCATTTCTCCGTGGAATTAGCTAATTTATTTCGTAACATGCTTGCTCAATCGGTTATTTTGTCAGTATTCCACCATTTAATGAATAAAGGAACAAAAGTATTACATTGTTAATTATTTATCATTTCAAACATTAATTTTTAAATAATGAATTGAAAGATCTTATCCTTCACAAATGCAAAACTCACACTGCTGTCTTATTCGAGAAACATAACCTTGTTTTCAGTGATAACATTTACAATACTTTGTTCAGAAACTTCAATTTAATGAGGTGTTTTACATTTTATATTTTCACACCAAGACATCTATATATATTTATGCAATTATTTAGATCCACATTTATATAAACTTTGTAAATGTAATTATTAGAAAATAGAACTATGACTAAAAACAAAAAAAATATTTTCACTGCATTAGCTAATAAAAATAACTTCTTAATATTGAAATTGCAATACTCCTGCTAGGTTACTACAAAAAGGAAGGTTTGAGGGCCCGTGACCCTATAATTAAGCTGCTGGAATGAGTCCAGGACTGTGGGTAGTGATACAAGGAGCATGACTACTGGCAGAAAAGCACAGGTCTGCAGCAGGTTGATATAGCCACAACCGTTATTGGTTCAACAACTACGGCTATTTATAATAACTGTTAATTGCTTAATTGCAAGGGCATAAAGATTTTACATTACATCTTAAAATCTTCTCGACTCTCAGACGTGTAAACACAAAAATCAGAAATTATTATTTAGTGGTAATTATTTTAGCATTCAATTGTACACTTTTTTTCAGAAGGAAAACACTTTTGGGATAGTGGTATTCTTTAGCCATACATCATTTAGTCTGCTGTTTGTTTTGTAAAAACATTGCAGAAAATGTCATGAAATAAATTGTAATTCCAAAATTCATTTTTTTTGCAATAATGTCAATGCAGAAATTTCAATTAAAGAGCGTTATTTTAAAAGAATAATTCTATTAATCTATTATAAGTCCCAATGACACTGAGGAAAAAGGATATATGGTAAAAAAAAGTTTATTTATCTGTAGCAGTTTAGAGAATTAAGCTAATTAGAAAAAGGAGAGCTTATATCATTGGTTGCACATCAAGTTATTGTGAAAAATTAGTTTACCTTGTGCATTTCTACTCTTTTCTTTATAATGAAAGCTCAAAAACATAAAGCTTAATAAAGTAATAGCTGTTGTAATTATAAAGGACATGAAAAGAATTAGGCTTAAGATCAAAGCTATTTCTGTTTTCGGAAAATCATACAGTGCTAGAGGTTTGCTTTATTTAAACTGATTTCAAAACACAGAGATGGATATGAGAAACATGTATAGGCTAACCTCAGAAGAAGGATTTAAGCATGGATTAAAACAGATTTACTGTAAATTCAGGTGAGTAGTATTTACTAAAAGAAAATAGAATTATAAATATTTTTCACCACCCATCTTAACTAATCAAATTTTCTCATACAAAAGAATTTATTTTTAATAGTAAACAGCTACCGTAGTGTATTCTTCGGACGACTTGTAAAAAGATACACAAAAAAAACAGCTAGTCAATTGTTTGTTTTCAAGCCGCCACATTTGAACACCGTTGTGAAAATTACCTTCAACATCAGGACTCAGGTAGTTGCGGACTTCAGTCAGAATGAAATTGATGTCCTCCTCTGTAGGTATTGGGTGTGCAGTAACATCAGTGGGAGTGTCAGTGGTCCCAGCAATAGTCATTTTCTCCCACGGCAGGAAAAAGATAACCCGTCCATCACTAGTGGCTGGGTCCAGAAGCCCCATGTGGTCAGGGCTGTAAGAATAAACATGCTGACTGCATTAACCTTTCATCTACTGGGGGTGTGATTAGGGTGCTCTCCGCAACAAGGAGTCTCCCAATAATCTTGCTCCTGTCAACGGTCTACTGAAGAGATTAATTCTAGTGGTTTAAATTCAAGCGCAACCAAGGCAAAAATGCACCTTTATTGTAGTGTCATGCCTCACTGTACTGCTCATCATTTACAAACTTACAGAATTAAAAAGTGCATGCTTACGTACACATACACTGACTCCTGAAAGTGCTTCATACATTTCTTTGATTTAATGCTAAAAGAAAAGGAAATACGTGTTCTCTCATGACCAAACCAGCAGATCTGATGAGGCAATAAGGTACTTTGTGTTAATGAGACTGGTATGCCTTAGTCATGGCAGAGATCTTCCTGGGTGTGAGTACGCTGGGCTGTTGAAGATCATTTGTTACCTGTAATAGCCTGGAATGACGATATGCACGCCAGCGCTGGGCTGACAGATGTTAGAGTTTTTCGGATCATCCATTTTCCGTAGCGTGTCTGTGAAAGGTCCCGTGGCATTGATAACACATTTGGCTCTGACATCAAATTCCTGCCCTATGAAAGAAAACAGCATCCATCATTCAGCCCCATTCATCTCTGCCCACTTTGACGTTTGGGATTATTAATTTATTAGTGAACACATCTCTGTAATAGACTTGCTTTTGCTAGTCTATATATGACTTCACTAGCCTGTAATTAATAAGGACCAGATAAAACTAATTTCCGTTATGTGTCCAAGTATGTAGTGAGATCTTGATCTGTCTGGGTCACTTTAGAAAGTGTTTATCAAAGTGCCATTTAATTACAATTTTTTCACAAAATATTGTTTTCTTCAAAAACCAAAAGAGATAGTATTCCCTTGAATTTACAGGTACTATCTTAAAAACACCAACTTTGCCTGAAATAAATTACTCTCATGCACATTACTCACTGTCATCGTAAATCAGAAACTAGCTGTACTGCTCTCAATAAAAACAAAATATTCATGAAGAATTCATATAATACCTTGACTAATCATTAATATTTTTTTAATATGTATCATTAATGCTGATTATTTTAATGTATATTAATAGATTCGTGTATCTCTTATCAATCTGGAAAGCATTTAAGGTTCTATACTTAAAAAACATCAGGGGGCAGTCATGTACAGAGATCAAAAAAATCATGGTTATTCATGAAATTTTGAGAACAATTTCTTTAAGAGCCAGAGTTATTTTTTTTAAAGCCATTCATGCTCATGACATTTAAAAGGTAAGTAAGGCCATTTTCAGTACGCTAATTTGGTAATACATTGCTACCAGATCTTAAGGACCTAACACACCATAAAAGGCTTATAAAATATTAAAGCTTAACATTCTAACGCTATGACTGTGTGAAGAAAAGCACTGATTAACAGGAACCTGAAGTACTAAAACTGTGCAATGCTCAGCAAGAGACCTTCATCCCTGTACCTGTTATAACATCTCTGCATCGTGCTCCACAGACCCGCTCCTTTCCACTTTCAGGATCTGTCTCCTTTAGTAGGCGTACTACTTCAGTGTAATTGGCAATGGCAGCACCATACCTGGCAGCAGTAAGGGCGACGGCGAGGTTCATTCGTGCATCATTGTGCTGTCCTGCAGCAGGGGACAAAACCAAAGAGAGGACGTGAGTCACCTCCAGCCAGTGACTGGTGGTATGGAAGTGTGTCGGAACCGATATGTCACATCTGTCCCTGTCACATTGCATATACATGATGGTTGGTCTGGTCTAATAAGAAACACATTTAAAGATACAGCAGCTCTTTGGCCTGTGTAGTCTCCTTTGAAAGACGACTTCTCCTGGAATGCTGAAAAACACAGGCTTTAGTAGTGAAAAGCAGAAAGAGTCCAGAATTAACCATTTGGTCTGTCGTAAGCTTTTTTTTTCCCTGTCTACATTGTGTAATATGACATGTTACAGAAATATAACCTCCAATGGCCTGCTCTTCTGGACAGTCAACAAAGTTGCTGAGAGCAAACAGCAATTAGAAGCATCTTAATCGGTGACCTGGCGAGAAGAATTCTATACGATTGCTAAAGAAAAGAAGAAAAGAAACACCTTTAAGCACTGTGTCCATTAAAAGTAGTTACCTATGATGCTCAACAACACTTTTTTGGGCAGTTTACTCTTAAAAATATATATGACAATATTCATGTATTGCTACAGTACTTAAAATACTCGCATGAAACCAGTTTAATAAAAGAAAATCTTGTATAGAGATTTATGGATTAATCCTTTAGCAGCTTTAAAATACCAGAAATCTATTCTCAAAGTCGGGAGGTCATAAGTTTTGTAATTTAAATTAAAGGGTTTAAAAGGTGACAAATGAACAAAGCCTGGTTTCATTAGGAAGTGATTCTTATGTACATCATTAAAGATTTATTGCTGGAAAATCCCTGGTTAAAGAGAACTGAGAATAGAGATGATTAATCACTTTTAATGTTGGTGTCTTGAGAGACTTCTTCTATTTATTATTGCCAGAGAAGTTCAAACCCTGAGTGTTGGCTGGGAGGGAAATGGTTCTGCATTGCAGGAGAACACGTTCTATGTGCCCTGAATTTGTAACAACTAGGGGCTAGGTAACTGGTGGGATGGTTAATGCTACAACATGCTGGAAGCAACTCTGCAAGCCAAAGAAACAGATTTAAAGGCCACATTTTAGAATTAATTATGTACAGAAGTATATCTTCTGCCATAGTATGTTATGGTGCATGCACAGTCATTGTATTAAATGTATCTTAATATAATCCTCACGTTCTGGGTTGAGAAACTCACACTTGCAAGTTTTTTTGATAATCCAAGCTTGTGTTTGTTATGCATGGTTGGAAAGTATGCCCAGCCTTGAAAGGGGTGGTTCAACACCAACCAATACCTACTGCGATGATAGACGATGATGTTTGTATCGTGAATTTAGTAAAGTTGTTTCTGCTTTAAAACAAGACGAAAGACCTGGAGGTTTTTAGGTATAATGAGTATTTAAAATAATGCTTTGATCAACCAAAATAAAAACATACCACTCTCAGTGGTATTCTCATTTCTCAGTTGAAAACTATCATGTCATAGCCATTGTATGACTTGTAGATGGTCTCTGAATTGCTGAAAACAAAACTGAGAAATGTAAGATTGTAAAATTGTGCTTTCATTAAGAAAACACTTTTCATTATTTTTATTATTGTTTGTTGCTTCTATGATTGTTTTGTATTATTAGTACTATTAATAATAGATGATAATAATAACAATGTATTATCATCATTATCATTATTATTATACAGCAGTGAACTAACACACAAAACACAGCATCAGTGAGCAAAGCCAATTTAATATATGACTCCCTGGAGGTGAATGCAGTTCACAGTCTTGCCCCCACCCCAACCTCAAACATAATCCCCAGTTCCTGGAGGTAAAAAATGCACTGAAGTGAGAAAAATTCTGCAGCAGGACAAAATGCTCCAAAATGACAGGGACAATAATGACAATGAATTTCATGTCTCCCAGTCATGAGCTGGAAATGCTTGACTGGGCTGACTTGTCCAATTAAATTGTTGCAGGTACAGCAGGAGATGCAGTTATCATCTGTATGCTTCTGGGAATTACTCCTCTGGCTAAAGAAGGCTGGAAAACACAAAGGACTTCTGTTTTCACAAAGAATAACAAGCGTCTTGCGTTCTTTCAATGATATATCTATATCCCTGGGTGCTGAAAAATAATCTATCATTTTAAATATGTGCTCAAAACCTGAAACTGTTATGAAAATACCACATTAAATGAAAGGCAAGGCATCAGTAAGGATCTACTTTATGTACTAACACAGAAAATGATATTTTTGGCACTACTACATAATCTAAGGGTATGAATGCAGACATGTCTAGAAACTGAAATCGTTTTAACATGATGGCTTGAAAAGTCCTTAGAGAAATGAACTCATGCAGTCAAGCCCAATCTCTAATATAGAAGGTCACATCCTAAAATGTCATAGCAATGAATTGTTCTTGATTGAATAATTGGAAAGAAAAGAAATGACATCCTAAACGCATGTTAGGAAAAAAAAAACATTAGAATACTAAATATTTCATTTATCAGTCATTAGGTTTGTTTTGTCTTTTTGGTTTTACCACCAAACATTTTGATATCAGTTTTATTAAAACCCCTCGAGGAAAGGTTATAGGAAGATGTCTTGGCGTAGAGAAAAAAAAACATTTTGAAATACCATAAATTCTTTCTTTAGTTTCCGTATAATGCCTCTTTTCCAGTTTTACTTCTGCTACATGAGTAAACCTGACAGATCACTGCTCAGATTGCAGCCGCATTCCCTTAAAAATATGTTGCCTTTTTGCTGTACAAGAGAATCCAGATATCAACAAATGCTAAATGAAGTCTGACATATACCCCTAAGAAACAAAGTTGTGAGTTTGCAGCTACAAAGGAAACCTTGAGTAAACAGGACATGCTATGTACACCCAGGCTAACAAGCAACATATGCTTTGTTTTTCTGATGCCAAGACAGAGCACAATTAGCCTGCAGAAAGAAATACTCCAGGACTCGTTTAGATTAAATACCCAGTGGCTATTTTCTGTTTTAAATCAACAAAAATTATGCTGTTTGTTATTTGTTTGCACTGACATAGTCAGTGAGTACACCACAGTGTGAGGCAGGAGATACATTTTCATAAGAGAAAGTCATTATTGAGTCATATTTGAAGAGCACAAATATTCTATAATACAAATTAAGTACACTTTTAATTTCTTGTTGTAACTAAATTTATTAAATTATATTATAGACATTAAATTCAATATTAATTTTTACTAGATTTTTTTTATCACATATCCCTATAGTCTGTGGTGTTTTATACCTCATATCTTCAGCAACAATTCATTCTTTTAAAATTACAAATGAAGAACTGCAGCACAAAGTGATGAAAATTGAGTACATCTCTGAACTCGAAGAAGTGATTCACTTGCAACAAACTTTTAAGATCTACAGTACTAAACACTAAGTAAGCTATGGACCTGATTTATTCAATCAGTGAAGACTGCTTACAGTACATCATTCTTCGGGTATTTAAATATAAAAACAAGATAAACCAGTGCATACGATAATAGATTAAAAATTACAATGCTTCTGCATGCACATTTCTGAAAAATAAACAACAGATTTTGGTTATGGCTTATGCTTTTGGCATAATTTTGTTAAATCGATCATTCATGACTGACTGTGATATACTCTAGCCTAGCGACTTTGTTGCATAAGCGCTAAATCATCTCATTAGTGATAGAATTCATAGGGCATAGATAACAAGACGATTGAACCTGTTGAATGCCAAGCCTGGTGAAAAGTGAGAGAGAAAAACACAGAAAAGAACCAACATTCCCCTGCTTATCAAGAGAGAGTGTCTTTGTGGCAACTGGATGTTAGAGGCTGGAATACAGTACATCAGCACACAGTCATTCGCTGTCTGGGTTGCTCACAGCCAGCAATTTCTAACCTAATTTCTAAATTTCTGAGAAGCTAACAATTACAAGCCATGACTTGGGGAAACCAAAAGTCATGACATCTCACCCATATCAACGAGGAAGTCCAAGTGTAACAGACTATACAAGACTTTAACGGTTTCTAAAATTGCAGCAAAGCTCCTCTCGCAGTTAATTGATGGCAACCAGATTGAACTGTACTACATTGCTCAGGTCCAGACCTCACTCGCTTTCTTTCCTGCATGCTCATCCTCACATGCACCGTTCCAGCAGGACACCGCGCGAACTCATGTTTCACTTTCAGAAAACGGGTTTTCCGTGGGACGAGAATGTGACAGTTGTGCTGTGAATGCCCCACTTGCCACTGAACATCTGTGGGTTGATCTGAGATGAGGAGTGGCACCTAAGGGACCCATGACCACCGAACGGGCACATGCTTGTCCAGTCTCTATGACAGGAATTCCACCAGGCAGCTTCTGCAACCCGGTGCAAAGATGCGTCACAAATGTGAAATTTGTATTTCTTCCAACAGCGATAATGCAGACTAAGAAACTGCAGCTTGCAGAGCTGACAACCAGGATGATGCCAATAGTTAATCCGCATAATCAATTTAGCTATGAAATGTCTGTTCAACCTGAACTGAATAAGTGGTTATTGAAAGTGATGCGCTGTTTGTTCAATAAAATGGCAGTGTGTCTGCTACAATCAACATTTTCCTGATAATAACCTTGTGAATTTGTTACAAGCAGTTATAAGCAATGCGTCTTCTAATATTTATACATTACAGATAATAATAATAATAATAATAATAATAATAATAATAATAATAATAATAATAATAATAATAATAATAATCAATAACAACTGCAGCAGCATCTTACCATCATAGTAAACAATTGCTCCCACAAGTTCATCTTTCTTCAGCATTGGAAAAAGTTCTAGAGCTTTGGTCTTGCTGAGGACATAGCTACTCTTCAAGCATTCAGTTCCAGCCACCAGGTCATACATCTTTATTCCAAACCAAAAGTACGGCAGCTGCCACCATCTGAGAAATTCACAGGGATGTTAGAAAATCAATATGTATTTCTGGATGTGGCTATTGCAATTCCAATGGAATCCTAGGATTGTACAGAATTATGTGATGTCCCTAAGAATCCTGGGGGCTCACAGCTGTCTGGTTTTGAGGCAACCCCCCTGCCTCTTTCACCCCTAAAGCTTGGATTTAAAACACAGAAAACACAGGCCTAACATATGATTGAAAGAAAACTAATTGTGAGAAACATACAGGCTAGTGGGGAAAATATCTTCAATATAAAATACTTGTATAAAATACATTAAAAAGACCCTTCTACTCATTCAAGTCCCTATGTTATACAGGCATGCAAATGTTACTGTGCACAACAATATCACCTTCATATGTAAGCACTCTAGGCAATAATCTTCAAATTCACGCCAAGTGAACAACTGAGACTTAAAACAGTAAATGGATCCACAAACAGTCAGCCTGTGTCCCACTCTAGTGTGAGGTTGCTGGCTGGATGGGAAACAAGACCCCCCTGCACATCACCGTTCAAAGCTTTACGCTACCTTCAATAATTACACACACCTGCATACAGCTTTAAATACCAGACAAGGTTTGTAAATGTCATGTGCAATTAGAGCTTATAATATAAGCTGGAGTAACTCAAATCAAGCCTCGTAGTTCATCCAAGGTGAAGGCAGAGGCAGAAATGGCAGAAAGGGAGACTCCTGTTGCACAGAAACTTAGAACATTCCACATTTTACTATAACCTCCAGTGTACTAGGAAGTTTGATTTTTGAGATTTTCGAAAGTTTAATGAGGTTTACCTGAACCTGAGATATACCAGAGGTGCGTAACATATCATAATTAAGTCCGAAATGTTATGCAATTCAATCTTGTTATTCAGACTTTCTTTTCTTTTACTTCTTGAGGTTCAAGTTAATGTGTGATGTGATCAATGGTTCTACATTATATTTCTTACTTGTACACAGGAAGCATTATAGGTAAAGGCGATGACAAATGTGGAGCAATTTCCAGCAGATTTGAACGTTCATGCAGGGCTTCTTTAACCATCATATACTGGAAAAAAGAACAACAAAATATATTTAAAAATATATTGATGTATGTAATATACGCACTCAATATATAAAATGTCTATAGCATATTAAGAAATCTAGATGTTAATTGGTAAATGGCAATATTGAAGATAAATTAAACATTTGAAAGTTATTCTTGTTCTTGGTGGCTTGGTCCTAATTACTTAATTAGACTAAATACTTGCTTAATTGAACCAATTTCTTTTAAAAAGTAGCTGGTCTTAATATTAAAGATACAAATAAAACCTGCACTATTCCCAACATAAAGGACTAGAGCTGTTTGCCACCACATTTAAATAAGCTTGAAATATTATTCAAAACATTTTTATTTTTATTATGCACATACAGTATGTAGATCTGCCTTAAATTAGGTTAACATGCACTATTGAAGACTTACACTTCAAGTTGTTGCTAACAAAATATCCTTTGACAGAACATAATAAAGTCAAACTAGACTTGTGACTTTGACAGCAAATGCCACTTTTTATTGTAATCATTTACTTTTCATTACTTATTCAGACAGTTGGTGTGCAAAGCACACCATTTATTACATATTTGCTGACTTAGCAAATGTTGTATACCATGTTATTGCACTAATTGGCTTGCTCAAAATCTCCACCTAAAGACCTAAACATGTTTATACAGTGAGGAGTAAGACAAAAAAAGGAACCTCCATGCTTAAAATAATGTGTTTCTTAAAGAAATCTGAGATCTCCAGCAAATTACCATGTTAGCTTGAATGGGATTTAGCAAAAAACAGAAAAAAATGAACTAATCCTCAGAAGATTTATCTTTTTTAGTCAATAAAATGCATCTTTTAAAAAATCTCTGAAAATAAGGTATCTTTCCTTTAGTGCAAAATGCAAGTACTGGATGTGCACATACTACCAGATCTAGAAATAATGTATTAATTAATAAAGAATCTCTCTAATGTTTAAGTGTAGAAAAATTTATACAAAAATAAAAAGTCACATATTAGAAATACCTAATTTCAATCAGAGACATTAGAATGGTCCCAAAGAATTAATGCATTTCCATTAAGCTGTGAACTATCCGAATCGCTACAGTTTTAAAACCGAATCACTCTACTGTATATGGAAGAGGAAGTCAACTGAGCTGGAATGAAAAATGAATGCAAAAGAAAATAAAACAATATGACCAGATGGATCAGGAATTTTACTGATAAGTGTCAACTATGCAGAAAAATGAAGCATTTACCTGTTCATAATCTAATTTCATAATGGCTTTCTGTAGATATCTTACTCCTCCGTGAATGAGTTTGGTGCTCCTGCTGCTTGTGCCTGATGAGAAATCATCTCTCTCCACCAGGGCAGTTTTAAGATCTAAAGGGAACCCAAAAAAAAAACATCAACAACAGTCTAATGTTAAGTGTCCTCATGACCAGATCGTTCAAAACACATCAGATATCACTTTTATATAAGCCTCCACTATATAGAGTTTTCTGAAAAGATATGCATTGAAAAATATCAAGACATAAATATTCAGATGAGGGAGAATTGGCCTTCACAATGCCTTCTTAAAACACAAAATTATGCTGATGGTATTTTCACTGAAACAATTATGAGAAAAACATTATCGCCAAATCATGGTGGACAAAAATGCTGCTGCTAATTCACAGGTAGTGGAATGCTTTAGTTACATTTGGATAAGTGCAATCAATCAAACAATATTTAGCACAGGGGTAAAATTAAACTAGAACAGTTAATTATTACAAGCCTGTGACATCCATTAGAGTTATTCTTAAAAAAAAGGCTTGGTTGTTTAAAATTAATGTTTTATTTAAAATGTTCTTTAACATTAAATGTTTACAACTCCAACTCAGCCTGTAACCCCACTGAAGCTCCCCTTTATTAATCTGAATTTTTGAAGGGAAACTGTTAGTTTTTTGTAATGAGGGGGGGAGTCAAATTACCCTAACATTTTTTAACATTGAAAATGTTACACATTGTCTCATTTATCCTTCCTCTATTAGAAGCTGCACTGGTTCCCCAGTGGATCCAAACCCACAAATCCCAATTTTGAAAAGAATAAAGAAAAAATAAATGTGGATTAGGAGCAGGGGGGTGAGAGGATCCAACTCCCCACTGCTGCGCCATGAGAAAGTTGAACTGGATAAAAGAAAAACAAGATTACAGAAACCCCTAACCAGCACCATAGCTAATTGATTAATAATGTACTGTAATAGGAGCAGCAAGAAGAAGCTCTCATTGGGGAACAAGTGTGTCGTCTTTTAGATCCGGTGGCTGGGCTCCACCCGTTGTTCGTTCTGCTCACTAATTCCTTGAGTCTGACGTTCCTGCATCCCAACCACAGCTTCCTACTGCTGCCGCTTGAAGGCAAACCCACAGGGAGGCCTTCAGAGGCCGCTTCTGCACAGCCGAACAAGGTTACGCAACATCGGCATGGAAAATAACGGCCAGCCTCTGCACGGGGGAACTGAGAAAACAAGTAACTCCCATGCGAAATGTGTTTAAAAATGGCATGCTGCCATTCCAGTAATCAATTCCAGAAAAGGAATTAATTAATAACACTCATGGATGACTGCAGTATATAAATTGTCCATGATGCTGAATGCAATGTATAAAAAATCCATTTTTGTCAATAACAAAAATGATGTATTTCAATATATTCATTATATCTGGAACGGGAAATGGACCTTTGTCTACAATTGTGAGAAGGTTATTTTATTGAAAAACGCTCTATTTTAGAAGTAAATCTACATTTTTTTTACCAACTAAAACATGAATAATTCCCTCCGATGGTAAAGTAACCACTGCCACAAGGGACAACCAGACAATATGGCTGCCTGCGCCACTGTTTGTTAACAGCTACCATACTACTGCAGCAAAAGAACTCCTCCAAAACACAGAAGAGAATTAAACATGTGGAAATGAGGAACCTGAACTTACTTCGAGTAACAGCATCTAAGGCACAGCCTGAGCCAGTTGCTCCTCCTCCAACAATCAGCACGTCAAACTCTTTTGTGGTCTTGAGGGCCATCAGCTGAGCTTCTCTTGAAGGCAACTCATCATGGTGGTACATTCCAATTGGCTCTGCGGCTTTCACGTAGGACAGTCGGCTCTAAACAATTCAAACACACCACCTATTCATCAGTTTCATTACCACACACTGTACCTTGGGGGGACGGTGTACTAATGAAGGCATGAAGCACTATGCATACGTCTTAGTATTCTTTATGATCGATTTTGAAGTTAGACATACATCACAACTACGTTTTTTTTTAAATGTCAGAGATTGGCAGAAAATAAATCAAATTTTAATTCATGTTAGTTCCTTGTAAATAGTGTTTATAAAAATGTTCTGAAAACGTGTATGTTAAAATTTTGTTCTGCGCTGAAGGCACTTGTGAGATGGTAACGTTTTGAATATGAGATTCTGTTTTCTTGTTTGTATTATGATTTTAAGGCCTGTAGGATATGTATAGTATTTTTAAATACAGTAGTATATATTTATTTTAGAAGTAGAAGACTATTTAGATGGACTTTTGCCGTAAAATTTATGTTACAGGTCTCAATGTATAATATATTAAAGGAAGAGGGGTTTAACCAAATTTTGCATTCAAACTCACAAATTGGTTAATTAAACTTTACTGTAACTGTAAACTTTACTAGGACTAATGTTTATAGTACACAAACACTAAAATATAATTGTAGGACTTCAGTCAATTTAACTTTTAAAATCTCTCCTCTCATTGTCTGTTCAGTACAATACATCAATTTTCAAATGTATGTAAGAAAAGGTAGAACTAAAAAAAAATCGATTTATATCCTTGGTAAAGCATAAAATCTGCGCTGATTTAGAGAAAAAACAACTGAAAAACAAAATGTGTTTATAAGAATTTCAATAATAATGAAACATTTTATTCATTTTGTATTTCGCATTCATTCTAAATGATTACATCAATCTTCTCCAAGCTCATGCTCCATTAGACTTGCAAATCTGTGAATGAACCTAGACATTTGCAATTTAGACTGTAACAGCAAACAAGATCTAATAATTAGTGTCTATTTCTAAAGATGTGCATATTTAAACACCGCTGACAATTAAGAACCAGGTTGTCCTGCAATCATGTAAAATATATGAGTGCGATCCTGGATTTCATGCAAATTATTAGTACACTCTGCAGAAAACTTTTCGGCAAGGTTGCTACTGCAGCCTTTCCAGTAAGGTGTATTAAAAATACACGTACACAATTATTTGTCAGTCTGGTATTAGAAAATTAGTTACTATGCGGCAGAAAGGTTGAGTAAGAGTCTGACATGCATCCACTGATATAGTTTGGCTTACCCCTGTAGGCTTCAGCAAGACGACGCAATGAGGTGACAAAAACAAAGAAGATTTACCATTAGCAATCATCATACAGTCACAGTTCTATATGCGGAAAATGAATGCCAATGAAAATTAGAAAACAAGATGGAATTGATTTTTCACATGCTATCTATAATGATATGACAACTGCACAGCCTCCTGTTCTTTTTTAACTGTAAAGCTCATATTGGTGAAATACTAAAAATGTCATTTTCCCTTTATATTCTCTAACAGAAAACTATGAATAACATTTTCTTCTTAATGACATCCCCAATTCATTGTGGAAATAATGCCAAATAAAAATAAACATATTTTCTTCAATTATCCAAATGGAAATATTTAAAAAATGTCCGTTAATTAAAAGTTACAGCGTTTCCATTCCTTTCATACAGCTTAAAAGTATTAAAATAAGGATCCCCGTATTTAGAACTAGACCTGTTCATTTCACCATTAATGCTAATTTACTCAAAAATATCTTTCTATGTATGTTTCTAATACATAATAAACAAATGCATCTCTACAGCAAACATATCCTAAAATATTATTATTTAAAATGCTTGTCCTACACATATTATATTTAAACTGAAAATAAACAGAGGAATCCAGTTGCATTTTACAGTGTTGTCTACTGAACATGCTCATTAGTGTTGGTTCCTTTATGTGTCTGCTAATAATATTGTATACAGGATATGTGGAACCTTGTACTTTATATTGTAAAATTTAATAAATTTGTAAATTGCATGCTAAAGCAATTTGTGGTATGTATTTTTGTATATATTAAGTTGCAGAACATTTTGATAGAAACCATACAGCATTTTTGACGACTCAAAAATCTGATGACTTTGAACATTATTCTACTGCAACAAGCACGAGACAAGCAATCCATATATAGAGCACAAAAAAAGCCAAGCCTGCTTTCCCAATTAAACTGTAAAAGTATTTGCTTGACATGCTAACATACATGATTCAGCCAGAATTCCTCTGGGAGCTCCACACTTCTTGAAGGCTGAAGCAGTAACCTGTGACCTCAGTGACAGGTGTTACATGTCTGACATTGGCTGTTGTGCTATTTTTCAATTTGCACCGCAAGCGCTATGGTCTGTATTTGGTCAAATATTTCCATGCAATCCACTAGGGTAAAAACCCTACAGGCTGACATCTCTCATCCACAAACAAGGTTACTTTCGGGACATAGTCCCACACTCAAATGATTTACACGCATGTCAGTACAGAAACCACCATTCACTATTAAAGTGAATCAACAGGTTAGAGGCGGGTGATTATTTTTTTTTTGCAACAGATGTAGTGGTAAATAATCCTCCCCATATTGTAACACTCTAAATGCCAAAATATTGTATGGTAAAACGTGAGGATTAGAGAAGAATTGTGTTAATGTTATATTTTTACTGTAATAACATTGTTGAGATTATTTTGATAACAAGCACTGGTTTGTTCACATTTGTATCTCCAAAACACTTCTGTACTAAGCCGCAACTTTTATTATGATGCAGTCACAGTCTTATTTGGTTAGCTGGGTTTCCCCTTACATCTCTATGTATTCCACCATGGGTGGTTTGGTCAAGGCACAGAGCACTCCAGTTCAGTTCACCTCTGTCACGCAGCCCAGTATTGTATTTCATTCCCAGCTGGGCGAAACAAGTCTGCTTGGGCCTGTATACAAAGCAATTCTTTCTCGTGTTTCGTTGCAGTATCAACCAGGACGTGAAACAATACAGAAGAGAGAAAATTGATCTTCAAACTCCAAAGAAAACCTTTTTTTTTCAGAAAAACAATACATCTTTCTTCAGGTTTAATAAACGTACAGTAAGTGCTTTGGAAAATTTGGAAAACATTTTTTTGAACTCGTTAGTGCAGAAATGGTCAGAACACAGACTTAAATACAGTAGGAATATTGTAGCATAGTGAGAAACAATAATAATATCATAATAACACATGGACCTTTCATGATATTTCAAAGCCTCAGGATTATGTTCCGCCTTTGTAAAATAATACTTTATCCTTGATTATGTAGCAAACTAAAAAAACAACTGTAATAACACAAACTATAGTAATGTTGAAAAGTAAAATGTATTAATGTTCGCATGTTTATTTTTTGCCCTGTTGCATCAGTGACTGTCTTAAAAAATACTGTTTATAACTATAACCATTATGCAGTTGAGACACAGGCAAATCTGTTTATGCAAACCTTGCCTATATGAACCAGCTCAGCAACATCTGAGAAAAAGCTGTGGGAAAAAATGGCTTTTGGTAGAGATATTTCTTAAATGACTTATATGCTACATTCTATATATAAGTTAGGGACTTATAACCCTATTGGTGTTTACAAAAACAAACAGAACCAGCAAAATACTGGTGAAGGAGATAGTAAACTAAAAAAATGCCAAAGTATGCCAAAGCAAAACAAAAGCACCTAATTCCACAAAGGCAAAATCAAACAAGCACAGAATGGGGGACATAATAAGAAAGAGAAAGGAAAGTTAAATAACCATTATAGAAATGGAAATGGATATTTAATACCCAACCATTTGTACAGCAAAGTGTTCCAAAACACAGGCTAGAACATTAACTTGCATAAAGTATAACATGAGGTAGGGCTATCTATTAGAGTTCTCTTCACTGCTTAAGAAACTGTCCACTATGCTGCTGAGAGATACTTATGTTTCATGATAGAGAGTTAAAACAAAAGCTGTCAATGAACAATGGTCTGCAAGAGTAATTTAATTTCTCTTGGACTTTACCACTACGTAAAGGAAAACTGCTTGCGTAAATTCCTCAGGCTTCGAGTAGATGGGTAATGGGCACAAGCTGATTTGAGTAATAGGAACTTCAATTTAGGGAACATGAAACATGCACTCACACAAATATCACAGGTTCAGAGGGTAAACAGAATTTCCTTCTTGCTCAAAACAACAAAGGGGAGATCATATAGCTGTAATTCAGTGCACTGCAGTTTGAATCATCCAAGCATCCAAGAATGTTAGGTGATTAACACTTGTATTTGGAAGTAACACTGCCATGTCTGAAAGGCAAACTCTCAGGAATCACAACATGGAAACATGGATTCTTCACCCATATTCATTAGAATTTCTTCTTCATTCAGCCATCCATCAACCCTGCTTCCAAATTGCAGGAGGCTTTGCCTAGGGAAAAGGCCACTTGTCCCTTTTATTCATTTTTAACCAATTGTTTTATTCCTGATTTTGTTTTTAATTTTCAAAGCTCAAATCAAAGTTCAATATGCTCTAATGAACAAGGCCATGAGCCAAAATACATAAAGCGGTCCAACTGTGTTCAAAACACAGTGGTGCTTTTTACCTATTGCAATAAAGGTCAACACAAAAGTAAATGATACTAATTTGTTTTCGTGTTTTGTGTTTTTAATTGTGTAAATTCTAAATTTGGGTTCAATTTGTGGTTCAAATTCCAGGTGAGACACTGCTGTTGTACACTCCAGCAAGCTACTTCACCCAGTACAGACAGTGTATATTTTACAGTACATTTACAGTATATACAGCAAATGTATGTTGCTGTGGTTAAAAGCAGCAGCCAAATAAAAATTAGTTGGAATTAAAATCCCAGTCAGAAAAAAAGACAGTCCAGATGGTGACTGCATAGTAAGGCTCATCTGCTGAAGTGCCTTAACTGATTGAGAAATTAAGTTGCTAATATTTCTAAAAACCAAATTTTCTTATGACTTCAGAGATCTATTAATATGATACCTGCTATTGCTGGGCACCTGGTTGTTTTTTATAGTTGTTTTCCTGTTTCCATTTATGTAAACCTATATTTTATGCACAGACATATGTGCTTCCCCGATCTTTTCCCTACCCTTCCTATACTGCTGGTGGGCAGAAGCAGATTCTTTACATTGGTCAACTGCGAATTATGCTGGTGCTGTCCTGATGAGTGTCCCAAAATAAAGCTACATTAGTAGCTGGATTAGAAATCGGCAAAGCAGCAGATCCAGTTTTGAAGAAAAACCCGCTTCAAAAAACATTTAAAACATTTTAACAAAGCAGAACAAATGTTTTAGATGTCAAGACTTTATGGGTACACAGTCAATAAATCCTAAATGGTCTTCTATATAGTACATTTTTGGATTTACTTGGGAGGCAAACTATTTTTACTATTCTACTAATCTAACACGTACAGTATTATGTACGTCGTTAGATTATACATAGTATTTTTTTTTTTCATTGAAAGTATAGACCTACCTGTTTTTTCTTGTGCTCTGACAGCTGTGCCAAGCCATAAATTGTAGTAAGGGTGCCCCCTCCAATAAGAATCGTTCTTTTTACAGCCTTTTGGAATGCCATATCTTCCCCTGCAAAAAAAAGTATTTTTTTTTCATTCATAGGATACATATCATGAAGTAACACCTTTTCATTAAAACTTTGATAATTGTGAACAATATCCATAGTGCTGTGAACAGAATCTTAGAAGAATGTTCATTAACCTCCGTCAAGTGATCTAAATGACACAGCCTTCATTATCTCAGGAATATTATAAAGAAGAAGGTTAATGTGTCCGTTAACCACAGAAGTTTTAGCATTGCTTAATGAATATAGTCATATTATATCTTATATTTGGATGATTCAAATAGCAGAATGAAATTTCAGACAATAAGTAAAGCAAATAGAGCTAACAAATGTAACACGCTCATGTTTAAACTCATGATAAAGGGAATGTTAAAAATAATTGTCACTAAAACATTTTATATTCAAAATATTAGAACATTATTTTAAACGTACAAGATTTTTCTTTAAAAGTACAATTTTAGATTATAGTACTGTTCTTACTGTATTATATTGTTCTTACTGTAATTGGCATTCTGCCTGTTTGGAAATTAAAGTCACATATAATAATGTCACATCAAACCATCCGTGCTGAGCACAAGTTAAGTGACAGCAGCTGCATGTCATGCTAAAGCTGCTTCTTTCTTCATGGGCAATCTAAAGACAAACTCTGGAAAAGTGCCATCAATGAGTTTATGCGCTTAAAATACAAATCTCAGGGTTGCCCCTTGGCTTTCAATTGGCAGCTGCGCTTTTTAGCACTAAACCAGAGGCTTCTTCGTGTTTTTGGTTGGTGCTGCAGGTACGACATACAGCAGGTTAACATCAGCATGGGCATGGATGTTTTAGCTGTCTGCCAACCACTGAACTAAACCTGTGTATACAGTATCTTTGTACAATCCACCCTGAGTCCTCCCATAAGAAGTAAAAGCAGCACAAAATGCCAAATGCTCACCAAACAGATCTACAGTCATGTTTGAAGCACACTGTTATGTCATATATGTTCCAGAGCATATATGTGCAAGTGCAAAGGGTTATGCTTGAAGTTACACTACTTACATATTAAAACATACTTTCTGTACCAAACAAAAGAGAGCCAACCTCAGGGTCATTCCCCTTGAAATTCACACACAGCAAAGTTTAAAATTCCTAATGAAACTCACAGTCTAATATGGTAGAAATCTCCAAATGCCTATGCAAGCATTGTTCCCAGACACAGATGCTAAAGAAGTCTACATACTTCAAGAGCATGAGGACCTTTACAAACCGCTTTCTCGAAAAATGACGTCAAACAAACTTTGTTTAATGGTGCCAGGATTTTAAAAGAATGACAACAAAAAAAAAATAAGACTTTGCAGGAACAGAAGTTCACAGAAGAAATCCTTCCATCATGCTCATAACGAAAAAAAGAGCCTTGCAGCTTATGCAAAGCTACTGTTAATTCCACCATCCACTCAGGGATTCTTTGGCAGCTATTACAATAACTCAACAGGAATCTCTGCAAATAGACTAAAGTAAGGTATTTCACAATAAGACAAGAAGCAAATGTTTACTTAAGGTCCTTTTTCTATTTGTTAAAGAGTGCATGAAAATATTGCTGAAAAATATGCACAAGTAATATCTCGAAACCCCAAAGTACAGATGTACATCATCTGCACCAAGGAATACTGATACTGTACATAGCCATACTAACTTTGTTTTAAACACTGCTGAGATTTATTTACCAAATATGTATTTTCATTAATATTGGAAGTGAATGTTACTCATACTCTAGAAAAACAATATTCAAAGCATAACTTCCGAACCACATCTTTATTTATGAGGAAAGGCCAAAACAAAGGAGAAGGAATGTATTTTGTGCTCTGCAGCATGTCAATACTTACAGTAAAGTCTAAAGTCTGAGACTATGCTAGTAATCCACTAAAGGATGGATCTTAACTGAAGGACGTGAAAGGAAATGGAAAATTACACACTCCTTTTTGTGTATGGGAAGGCTAAAATGCAGAAATTCAGATTCAGATGATTATATACAGATAATTGTAGTGACATTCACTTTAAAAATCCATCCAAATACTTCTCTTCTATTTTACAATCCAGTTTTTATATCCCTATGTCAAGCATGACAATCACCATTTTTGGAATTGTCCTGCTTTTACAAGAGAAAACCAATCAATAGATTTTCCCCCCAAACGACAGCCATCCTCTCTGAGAATGAAACATGCGTTTTATTAGGTTGCTCGATTTTCAAACTATACAGGGCAATTGATTGCATCTATGTGGTACTCAGGCCACCTGCAGCTTCTGAATAAATTTCTAGAAATATGGAAATATTTCCCAGCCATGAATATGCACATAGTTTGAGATGCCAATGGAGTCATTACTAATGTTGCTGCCAATTACAGTGCAAGTCATGACACTGTGATTCATGCATATTCAACCACTGCTGATATACAGGCCCTGCAGCTACAGCTCATGTCTCCACTTCTCTGTCTTTTTGTATATGTTGTGAACAGGTATCTCCATCTGCCCACAGGAAAAGGTTTCTGCTTTTGAAACAAGGTGTTTAATATAGCACATGTAATTAGCTGTGCAATATCTATCACTATAGCCCTTTTCGTATTGTGATAGTTCACTCACAACATCAATCAGCTTATGTTTTTTTAGGAAATAGTACAAGCACAGCACTAGGATACCGGGAATTTTGCAATTCTAGAAGAACATACTGTATCCTTTTACTTAAATATAGGATTATGGACTTGGGTCTTCTCAACAATCACTTAAAGACCCATGATTTATGTTTGGAAATATAAATCAGGCATTTTATTGAGCTATTTGAATTAATCTAGCTTCCAAGTTATACGTATCAGACATTTAAATAAAGTCAATGTATGTTCATATATTGTATGGGTTGCTTGTTAAAAAATAAATGCACTCACATAGTTTTAGGAAAATAAAACCTGATTTACTACTTTTGTCTACTCATGCAAGATCCCGTCAATATTAATACAAATAAATAATAATACAGTTCCCTTCCCTTTAAAATTAAGAAACAAATTGTAGACCTATAGTGTACATGAAGTAAGCCTACTATAAGCTGACACTATACTGTATGTCGTATACATATAGAGTCCCCCAAATCTGTTCATACCCCTGATAAAATAGGAACAATAAACAACAAATCACAGAAATATTTACAGTTTGGATAAAGTTCTTTGCTTGTTTGATAAATATACAAATGTTATATGGTAATATTAATAGCATTATATAATGAAAGTCATATCTGTTACAGATAATTAATTCACAAATCTAGAAAACACCAGAGTCATATTTATTCACACTCCTGTAGTAAGTATTTTATAAATCATCCTCTGGCAGGTTTTGCACTGACTAGATGCCTCCTGTTGTGTGCTATGAGGTTCTGCCAATGTCAGTGAAAAAACTCATAAACATTCATCCATGCACAACTGTTCTATGTCCTTTAGACACTTTGGTTTCTGTCAATGAACTGCCATTTTAAGTTAGAATCACAAATTGTATTCTATTAAATTGGACAGATGTGTGGAGACAAAGATGGTGAGTCAAGAACATTTATTCTGTTAACCATTCCTTTGTTAATTTGGATATTTGCTTTGGATCATTGTTATACTGGATTGTCTATTTTCGGCCAAGCTTGAATTTAAGAATTAAGTTCTGGCCAAAAAGGCCTTGTACATGTTGGAGTTCAGAATTTGAAATAATCTGACAAGGGCTTCAGGACCCCTAGCTGCAAACCCCCAAAATATAATAGATATCCCATAAAATTTCAGAGAGTAAGTATGATTGTTTTAAGATCACTTTATTAACCATATACCATCTCTTGCATTAGGAATTTGTCTTTTTGCATACCCCAGCTTACGCTCCATGAGACACACAGATGGTGAGAGAAGAGCTTGGGTACAGAGCACAGGGTCAGCTATTTATAAGGCACCCCTGGAGCAGTTGGGGTTAAGGGCCTTGCTCAGGGGCCTCAAAGAATACAATTCCTCTGCCGGCCGTGGAATTTGAACCGACAACCTCCCAGCCACAGGTGCAGATCCTTTGCCATCTCTCCGTTTTCTCATCACAAGTTTCACCTTTTTTCATGCCAATCATAAATCTGATTAGCATGTCCAAAAAAACTCAGTTTTCATGTCTTCTGACCACTGTCATTCAAATGATATCTGGCAAGTTTGCCAAAGATAGGAGCTACACTGACATGAGCCTATGACCTTAACCATGATGATGTATGCTACTACTCAATGTTTTCCCTGTATTACTGTACTTCCTTTTATACCCCAGGGAAACAGTGAATCTTTGGAGGTCACTATATATGCAGTATTCTAACTCACACCAGACCCTGGGAACATACAGTATCACTCTTACATTTAAATTTCTGCATTGGTTTCCAATAAAGTCCTGTATTCAATACAAGTTCTTGTTACTGACTTTTAAAGTTTTAAATAATCTGTCTCCATCATAAATCTCTTTACACTCCCTCCCATAGACTCTGTTCAGATGATGCTGGTTCATTGCTCACTGTACCCAGGACTAAAACTTGGACTACTGGTGACTGTGCTTTGCCTGTCGCTGCTCCATTGTTATGACATGCCCTTTCTCCAGCTCTTCACTTAAAAATCATCATTTTACTAAGACCTATGTCTGATGGTCCTACAGTTTATCCTTTATGTTCATGTTTATTTTTTTTATTTTACTTTTTGTTGAATGTTTTTGTGTTTTTCTTTATCACTATGCACAGAATATTTGGGTTTGGAAAGGTATTTTCTAAATAAAAGCTATTATTATATAGTTCCTGAGGGTTCCTTTGCACTTCTTTGTCTTTGAGTGGCATGGCTGTGTCTTCAGATAAATAGATAAAGAAATCATATTTTTTTCCACTCAATCAATTGTCCAGCATTGCACTGCTAGCTGTTACAATATGTGAGCTAAATGGACCAATAAAGAAAATTTATGTTGCTGCTGCTCTTCAATATGCAGTGGAAACTATCTGATA